GTGTGACTTTATGTCACTGAGGCGTTACGCTAGCCGTGAAGGCCGACCCGGGTCAACCCGAAACGTTGCTGGCCAACGGGGCTCTGGTGAAACTGCGACTGGCTTAGCAGGCCGGCAGTGGATATAAACATTGCTCAAGAAAACATAAGGAGACACAAACGGACTGATAAAAACGGAAAACGACCTGGAGAGAAAAAAAAAAGTTTAAGGCGCTTGCAACTACATGGGGTCATATTATGAGCGCCAAGGGGTGGATGTCAACAGAGAAGCCTGAACAGGGAATCAGGCTTACTCTGCTCACCTGTCTTGCTTCAACAGCACAAAGTCTGCTACGACTATCAAGGCACCCCGGAAATAGCGGGTCACAAGAGTGTGACATACATGAAGAAGTAGAGGAAAATGACGATAGTAAGGATTAGGAAAGAAAAAGAGAGCAGTTCCCTGTTGAAGTTCGGGCACAGTTATGGGCATGACACTGACGAATCAGCCCATTTACAAGTAGGCTATAATTCTACTGTGCATAAGAAACATGGTTAATGTCCCCTCTTTGGGAAAGGCCTAAAGACACTTCAGTCAGTAGCACCGCCCCGAGGGGTTGTTCAAAGTTTTAAAAAATGGCCTCCGCACATGACGTCAGAGAATGGAGATCTCCGCGGATGTGAGTAGTAGACCAAGTAAGCTCCAAAAGGAGGGATGAATTAGATCTTTACTGAAAACCAAACTCACGATGGGTCAGTTTTACGAGGTCTATGTTTTTTCACAATGGGGAGACATAGAATAACATCAAGAGGCAAGCCTAAAAGAGAGAAAGGTGGAAAGTGTTTGCCCGTGGCCTATACCCTGGTGCAGGCTGAGAAAGGCGATGATGATGATGATGATGATGATGATGATGATGATGATGATGATGATGATGATGATGATGATGTTTTTCAGACTTCTCACTGGAACCAGACGAACGACACCCCAAACATAATATTATTATTAATAGACTCTGAGGGTGAGCAAGATGGCGTCCGTAGACCGGAAATTTGGCGTGGCTGTACTGGGAGTTGGCCGAATGGGTAAGTTTTGTTTTACTTACACGCTATAGATCAATGGTGAAGAAATGGAAATGGATTGGGCACACCCTGAGGAGACCCCGACAAGCATCATCCGACAGGCTCTGACGTGCAATCCACTAGGAAAACGTAAGAAAGGAAGACCAAAGATGACATGAAGGCGAGCGGTACTAGCGGAAATGGAAAAGGCGGGGACATCATGGAAACAGCTAGAAAAGGATGCACAAGACAGGCTTATGCTGGAGAAATGGTGTTCATGGCCTAT